CCCTCCCTCCCTCCCGCTGCAGGTCACTGGGGTCTACCTGCCAGACCCAGGCTTTGCCCCGGGGGATGTCAGCTGGCCGCAGAACCCCATAGGACGTGTGGGCAGAGGTTGTGAGCTGGGTGACGATGTCTCAGCTTCCTCTCTCTCCAGGAAGGTGGTGAGACGAGTGAGCCTGACACACCGCACCAACCTGTATCGCAAGGAGCATGCGCAAGAGGCCATCGTGTGGCAGCAGTCACCACTCACCAGTCCAGAACCTCCAGAGGATGAGGACAGGCAGACAGATGCTGAGCTCCGGCTGCAGCCCCCGGAGGTGAGCATGCAGCCTCTGTCCTGTCCCAGATTTGGAGCCGTCTGGGCATGCGGTCTTGTTATTTAGTACCCAGTCCTCTAGCCTCGCTAGCCCCCTATGGAGGTGATAGGCCCGGTGACCCCTGCTCCTCATGGGCTAGTGCCTCAGGTTTTCGTCGGCTGCTGACCTTCCCACTTTCAAGTCCATCTGCCCCCACTTCACATAACCTGAAGCCCAAGGCCGCTGTAGGTGAGAAAACCACCTCCTGACGGCCTCTGGGCTCCCGGCTCTGCCCACAGGAAGACAGCTCTGAGGTGGCCAGACCACACAATGGCCAAGCAGGGGCCCTCCCGGGGAAGCACCTGTACTCTAAGCGTCTGGACCGGAGTGTCTCCTATCAGCTGAGTCCTGCGGAGAGCGCTGCCCCTGAAGCCCTGGTCCGGGACAAGGCACACCACACACTGGCAGAGCTTAAACGTCAGCGGGCAGCTGCAAAGCTCCAGCGACCTGGCCCGGAAGGGCCCGAGACCTTTGAACCTGGCCTGCCTGTTGACACTGAGACCTCCCAGCCTGACTGTGGCTTCAGGACAACTGGGGACCCACCCCTGCTCAAGCTCACCGCCCCCTCGGAGGAGGCTCCTGTGGAGAAGAGGCCATGCTGTTTGCTCATGTGAAATGTGATTCCTCAGTATGGCAGGGTTCAACCCCATGCCCAGCCAGAGGCTTCCTCATGATCTCTGGCCTGGTGGCCCACTCCAGCACGTGCCCAGTGCTGTAGGGGAGCCAGCACAGAGCCTGTACCCGCTTCCAGCCCAGGACACTGGCCACCTTGCTCAGGGATGGACTATGCAGAGCTGTACCTGTGGGCCTCGGGCCACAGACTGCTTATCCTGTGACTCTTGATAAAGGCGGTTTGCCACTGAGTCTCCCCGCGTGTCTCACTGGGGAAGGGGCAGGTCATGCTGCTGGGTTAGGAGCCACCCATGCCCAGGAGCACCCAAACTTGTAGGTGCATGCTGGCATCTTGCAGATGGCAGCCCCAGCTTTTGTGGGAGGGAAGCTGAAGGCCCCAGGCAAGGAGCCCAGCCTTTACCTCCACCTCTGCTAGCTGGTTCAGCGTCTTGGAGGCTTCTCTGTAACCCTTTGCTTTCCTGAAGGCAGCAGGAGAGTTTGGAAGAAGACTCTTCATGGGGAGTGTGGAGGGTAACCATGCAGAGATGGCAGGGACCCTGACTAGTAGGGACACAGTGTTTTCCATAGGATTGGGCCAGAGCCAGCAGGACGAGACAGGCAGAAGGCTGGCGTAGGCTCTTCCCAGGGTCATGGTCTCAGTTCCTGGCACGTAGCCCCGATCTTGGGGCATATCTGCCAGCTTCCGCCTGGGCTGGTATAGGTGACAAGCACTTGGCCACTCAGGCTGTGCTGGCTAGGCACAATGCATCAGAGAGGGGCCCTTTAGGGGCCTCAGGCTGGAGGGAAGGAGGCAGTTCTAGATCATGCCCATTGCATTTGGCTTGGCTTGGGCACTGACCTGGCCAGCCCCGTGCCCATCTCCAGGGCCTGTCCTTCCTCTAGCACCTGTGGTTGGAGGGTTAGTGTCCTTGGGAGGGCCTGGGGGAGGGCTGGTGGTGGCTGCTGGTTAAATTTAGAGTGACTCTGTGCTGCTGCCTGCCGTCCAGCTGCCAGCATTACTGCTCCTTGGGCCCTGCGGGAGGCAGGCAGGGCCAGGCTCTGTCAGGGCCAGGCCTGTAGTCATCTGTGCTCTGGTCTGAGGGCCAGGGAGAGGCCAGTGAGCCGGGAGGCCACTGTGGCACCAGAGCCAAGAGATCAGAGGTGAGTGTGTCCCCACAGGGCCTCATGTGGTGTTCCTTTCAGCCTGCAGGATCAGAGGGATCAAGGCTCACCTCAGGCCTTCCTATTTGCCTGCTGCCCAGCTTAGAAGTCAGGCTCCCCAGCCCTCAGCCTGAGCCATAGATGGGGGGGTGGAGAGCAGTGGGGGGACACTTAGATGACCAGTGCTGAGCGTGGCCTATAGGCTTCCTGCGAGGCCAGTGGGAGTGGGGTTCTCTGGGCTTATCAGAGCTCACTTCCTGCTCTCTACCAATCAGGAGCAAGAAGGAAGGGGACTTAGTTACTTTTGGCCTGGGCTGTGGCCCTAAGGGCAACCTTAGGCTGATATGTATTGAAAGGACACGAGGGTAGTCCAGGGGTGAGGTGTCCAGGACTCTGTGTCCTGTCTCTAGTCTCTTCCCCTCCCCCCAAACCCTTGCAGAGCTCATCAGGGACCAAGGTCCACCCATAGCACTCGGGCAGTCCCCATGGAACCCTCCCCTCCCCCAGTGCTCCCCAGATTCCTAAGGCCCGGCCTAGTTACCTAGGCGACAAGTCCACTTAAGTAAAGATGGGGTATGTATGTGTCAGGTCTGAGAGAGCTAGACCTCAGCTGGGCCTGGCTGGGGTCAGTCTCCAGTGGTCCTCACTAGGCCCATGTGCCGAGTGCCCTCTTTGCCCAATATCCAGGGTGTCAGATGTCAAACCGTCCGTCTGTCCCTACTCCCCAAGTGGGTCTCCTGCTCCCTCATGGGGACACTAGGCGGCACTGGGCCTCGCCCCAAGCCCCGCCTGCCGCCTTACCAACTCCCTCCGGCTCCCTGGGGCAGATCTGTGCCCAGACTGGTGGGGCGGGGCCCACGGCACGGCACTCCGGCTCCTTCAGTCCTTTCTGCCCCTTTCAGTAGGGCCAGGAGGCTGTGGTGAAGAGGGTGGTGTCTTACCTCGGCAGACTTCCCCATTCCCAGCCCCGATTCCCCATCTGGACCCTTCTACTTCCTGAGCCAGTGTCCTGCCCCGGGCTGAGCAGTCATGGCCTCAAGAGTGAACGATCAAAGCCAGGCTTCAAGGAATGGACTCAAGGGGAAGGTGTTAACTCTGGATACCATGAACCCATGTGTGCGGAGGGTGGAGTACGCGGTTCGAGGACCCATAGTGCAGCGTGCCTTGGAGCTGGAGCAGGAGCTGCGGCAGGTACTCCTTTGGGCCACCTGCTGCCCTTCTCTACACTCGGGTTGCTGAGTTGGTCCCCAGCCCAGTGGAATGTGGGCCAGCGGCAGTACGGTGGTGGTGCCACATCTCACTGCCTGCTCCCCTTCTTCCCCAGGGAGTCAAGAAGCCCTTTACTGAAGTCATCCATGCCAACATTGGAGATGCACAGGCCATGGGGCAGAGACCCATTACCTTCTTCCGCCAGGTTAGGCTGCTGCCCTGCCTGTGGTCACCCCCCTTCCCCCCTCCCCAAATGCCCTGGCCTCAGTATTGGGTTCCCCCAGGTCCTGGCCCTCTGTGTCTACCCCAGTCTTCTGAGCAGCCCTGACTTCCCAGATGATGTCAAGAGAAGGGCAGAACGTATCTTGAAGGCATGCGGGGGTCACAGCCTGGGTAAGCGCCTGCTCCAGATGGAGCCCAAGCCTTAGGGAGGGGCAGAGAGAGACGGGTCCCTTAGGAGGGTTGCAGGACTTGCCCGGCCCCCTCACTAGCTTGTCCTCTTTCAGGTGCCTATACCATTAGCTCTGGCATCCAGATGATCCGGGAAGATGTGGCACAGTACATAGAGAGGCGAGATGGAGGCATCCCTGCAGACCCGAACAACATATTTCTGTCCACCGGCGCCAGCAACGCCATCGTGGTAGAGTAGCCCCTATGTGTTGGCTAGATCAGGCTCAGTCTGGTGCAGCGGCAGCGGCAGCGGCTCAGGGCAGCGGTGGGGTGGGGGCGGGGTGGGGCGTGCAACCCTGGTTGCACTAACGCCGTGCTCCCTATCCCGCCCCCAGACAGTGCTCAAGCTGCTGGTGGCCGGCGAAGGCCGTGCCCGCACGGGCGTGCTCATTCCCATTCCTCAGTACCCACTGTACTCGGCTGCGCTGGCGGAGCTGGACGCCGTGCAAGTGGACTACTACCTGGACGAAGAGCGTGCCTGGGCTCTAGACATCGCCGAGCTGCGGCGCGCTCTGTGCCAAGCACGTGACCGCTGCTGCCCTCGCGTACTGTGTGTCATCAACCCTGGCAACCCCACCGGTATGCCCCCCTATCTGCCCCGCCCCATTCAGTCTCAACCCTTCCCTGCTAGCCCCGCCTCCTCGCGCCCCTCCCCCCAGCCCCGCCTCTTCCTCTGAGACCTGGCCCTAGCTCTCCTGACCCAAGTGCGCCCCCGGGCTGAGCCACAAGTGAGCTTGGTTCTCTGCTGCCCATGGCTGCCCCTGTCAGTGCTGCATCTCCACACTGCAGGGCAGGTGCAGACCCGCGAGTGCGTCGAAGCCGTGATCCGCTTTGCTTTCGAAGAGGGGCTCTTCCTGATGGCTGATGAGGTACATTCGCCGGGGTGGGGGGTGGGGAGTAGGGGGGGGGTGAGGACTCCTGGCCGCGGACAGCAGGTCAGCAGCCAGCCTGAACAACGCCGCCGCCCCTGCAGGTCTACCAGGACAATGTGTACGCCGAGGGCTCTCAGTTCCATTCATTCAAGAAGGTGCTCACGGAGATGGGGCCACCGTACTCCACTCAGCAGGAGCTCGCCTCTTTCCACTCGGTCTCTAAGGGCTACATGGGCGAGTGCGTACAGGCGCAGGTGGTGGTAGCGGTGAGGCTGGACGGGCAGAGGGCTTTTTCGGGCCAATGCCACGGCTCAACACCCTCTTCCCGGGCCAGCCTGAACTCATGTTGTCCCCGGCAGATGCGGGTTCCGTGGTGGTTATGTGGAGGTGGTGAACATGGATGCTGACGTGCAGAAACAGATGGCGAAACTGATGAGCGTACGGCTGTGCCCACCAGTGGCGGGCCAGGCCCTGATGGACATGGTGGTCAGTCCGCCGGCACCCTCTGATCCGTCCTTCAAGCAGTTTCAAGCAGTGAGCAGACCAGACCAGGCCGAAGACGCCTGGTGATCCAGCTTTGGGTGGAACTGTAGGGGGGGGCACATTGAAACCCTCTCCCATAATTCCCTCCTGTGGTTGCAGGAGAGGCAGGAGGTGCTGGCTGAGTTGGCAGCCAAGGCTAAACTCACGGAGCAGGTCTTCAACGAGGCTCCTGGAATCCGCTGCAACCCAGTGCAGGGTGCCATGTATTCCTTCCCCCGAGTGCAGCTGCCGCCACGAGCAGTGCAGCGTGCTCAGGTGGGGAATGCAGGGTCATGGGGGGCTGAGCGGGGTGTTGGCCTGGGTGCTGTGACCTGACCACCCTGCTGATCCCCAGGAACTGGGCCTGGCCCCTGACATGTTCTTCTGCCTGCGTCTCCTGGAGGAGACTGGCATCTGCGTGGTACCTGGGAGTGGCTTTGGCCAGCAGGAAGGCACTTATCACTTCCGGTGAGACCTGGTATGTGTTGACCCCACCACACACAGGCCTGTGTCCCAGGCTTACTGTCTGTCCTTTTCAGGATGACCATTCTGCCCCCTCTGGAGAAGCTGCGGCTGCTGCTGGAAAAACTGAGGCATTTCCATGCCAAGTTCACCCAAGAGTATTCCTGAAGCCACTGCTGGGACCACACTGGACGGCCTCTGACTGAACAAACTGAGGGGCCTTGGGAGCTTCAGTATTTGCTGCTTTTGCCTAGGGCCTGGGTACCTGTCCCTGCAGGTCCCTAATAAAGCTGGGTGTCAGCCTGACTTGAAGTGGCTGCCTGGGGGACCCCAGCTTTTGATTTACCTGATTGGCTTTGAATAGGCACATGGACCCCACTCGAGGGACACTGGACACCTCATCTAAAGGAGTCGTTAGGGACGGCTCCCAGGAAAGGGCCCTTCAGACTGTCACTCATCCATTTGTCTTAAGAGACAGGTGCATCTGTAGGCTAGGTCTTCATTATGGTTTTAAATGTGGGGCACGTGATGACCCGTGAAAATCAACTAACATATAAGTAAAGAGTGTGAAGGCAGGTGTGGATCACATCTGCCTTTTGGGGCCACTCCAGAGGCACTTGGGAGGGGATGAGTTGCAGGGAATCCCAGGGGAGAGAGATCTTAGAGGTTGCGTCAGAAATAGTAACTTCCCTAGGATACACAAATGTGCGCCTTGTTCTGGGCACTTCCTGTGCCAACCACAGGGTGGAGCTGTTAAGCAGGGTTACAACCAAGTTAAGGGTGACAAGGGCTAGGGGAGACTGGTGCCCAGCAATGCAGGGGAGGGTCTTTGCAAACCACCTCTCGGAACCCTAGGGGCAGATGGGTGCTAACGGGAGGAAACATCCTGGGGTGGAGGCTCAGGAAAGTATGCGCCCCTGTGCACAGCAGGTACTGCTGTATTCACTTGTGGGGCCTGCGGTGGTCCTCTGAGGGAGGCAACAGCAGGCATCCCTCACCCCAAGTTATTTGTGGTGCTAGGGACTGAATGTAGACCATTGAACTATTTCCTGCCCACCACCCTTCTTCAGTTTTAAGACATGGTCTTGCTAAGTTAATCCAGTCAACCTTAAATGCATGATGCTCTTGCCTCAGCCTGAGTAGCTGAAATGATAGGTGCTCACAACCATGCCCAAAAGTAGAACCCATTTTATGGATAGGAAAACCCGGACCCTGAGACTATCTGGAAGCGACAGGACAGCCTCTCAGTGGAAGCAAGGCAATGCCGGGATGCTCAGACTTGGACACAAAGGCAGTACCCAGTTGTCCTCCAGGGAGTCAGTTCTTAACCCAAGGTCTCATTGAACAGCCTTATTGTGGCCTTGGGAGGGCACAGCTCTGGGAAGGGGGAAGAGATTGGGCATGAGCCTTCCTTGCAGGGCCGGAATCATGTGTGCCCGATGAGCTACCCTCACTAAACACTGTAAGGGAAGCAGGAGTCATGGGCAGAAGCTGATTGGGTCCTGACCTTTCCCACAAAACTCTAGCATCTGAGGTAGCACTGCCTTGGGGAGGAGGCTCTGACGCCACAGTCATAGCAAGGTATGGGGAGCCGAGTATTAGAAATGCACACGCCGGGGTTGGGGATTTAGCTCAGTGGTAGAGCACTTGCCTAGCAAGTGCAAGGCCCTGGGTTCGGTCCTCAGCTCCGGAGAAAGAAAAGAAAAGAAAAAAGAAGGAAGGAAGGAAGGAATGCCCACGCCTTTAATCCCAGCACACAGGAGGCAGAGGCAGGCAGATCTCTGTGAGTTTGAGGCCAGCCTGGTCTACAGAGTGAGTTCCAGGACAACAGGGCTACACAGAGAAACCCTGTCTCCCATAAATAAACAATCAAACAAACAAACAAATAATTTTAGAAAGTGCTTCTGGAACGAATCTGGCAACCACTGAGCAGAATGGAAGATCCCTGTACCTCAGCTTCCTTCCCAGGTACTCACTCCTACCGGCGGGGAGCACGAGAAGCAGGCGTCTGTGTTCCGGTTTGTCACCAGGGGCGCCAGAGCAGATGTTCTTGGTCTGCGAAGGTTATCTGTAGGGAGTTGGCTCCACCCTCAGCCAGAGGAGCCCCGCCTCTCCCTTAGCCTGACCCCTGCGCAAAGCATGCTGGTAGCCAATGGCTGCGCGCAGGCCCATCGCGCTCAGATCTGTTCCTCTGCGTTTTCTCCCAACTTCGGTACTTCCGGGACATTGGGGGCCCCCGGTGCGCACTCGGGATCCCGGCCTGATTGTTCCTGACCCTATGTAGACGGACTAGACCGTGACTTCCCACCCTGAGCCATCTGAACCACGATCTGGCCATGCATGGGAAGCTGCTGCTGCTGGCCGGCCTCTATCTTGTGCAGGGTCTGCCCTATGGACTGCAGTCCAGCTTGCTGCCCATTTTACTGAGGGGCCATGGTCTCTCCCTGACGCGTGTGGGTCTGACCAAGGGGTTGTATGTTCCATGGCTGTTAAAACTGGCGTGGGCGCCACTGGTGGACAGGCGGGGCTCCCCTCGGGTCTGGTTAACACTCAGCACAGTGGCCCTGGGCCTGGTGTGTGGACTGCTGGCCGTGTTCCCGCCCCCACAAGCTGGCCAGGCAGGGCTGCCCATCATCATGATGGGGCTGCTGCTGCTGCTTAATCTGGGTGCAGCGGTGCAGGACGTGGCCCTGGACACAGTCGCTGTGCAGCTGCTGGAGCCAAAGGAGCTGGGAGCTGGGAACACTGTACAGGTGGTGGCTTACAAGCTGGGGTCAGCACTGGCTGGGGGTGGGCTGCTGGTCCTCTTCCCGACCCTGTCCTGGCCATGGCTTTTTCTGCTCCTAGCTGCCACCTACTGGCTGGCTGCTGCCTTAGCCTGGGCTGCACCAGCCTTGGGACAGCTGCCTTGGCCTCAGGTCTCCGAGCAAACCACCCCCACGTCCTATCTCCTACAAGATTTGCTGGCTGTGCCTGGGACCCTCTGGACAGCAGGCTTTGTGCTCACCTACAAGCTGGGTGAGTGTGGCTTTGAGTCAGGCAACACCAAGCAGGAGCCCTAACTTCCCTGGGGCCCTGAAGCCCACTTAGGGTTCTGCCCTACTCTGGGGTATCAGCGCAGCACTCCCCAGAGCTCTGCCGCTCAGTCTTGCCTCACCTCCCGACTTCCTCGGCTTCAGCCACAGCCCACTGGTAACCTGGATGGTGCCTCAAACTAACTGGGCTGGAAGGCCCGGCTTTTTCTAACACCTGGGGCCCGTGAAAATGAAGGCGAGCAGGGGCCTGGGGGTTAGAGCCCGCCCCAGGAAGGGAGAAAGGAGGGGGGACCATCCTTGCTTATGGTCTCCTGCAGGTGAGCAGGGAGCTGGCAGCTTGTTCCCACTTCTCCTGATGGACCACGGTGCTTCTGCCTCAGACCTGGGGCTATGGAGTGGCTTGGGCGCTATGACCTGCTCCATTGCTGGCTCCTCTTTAGGTGGGGCTCTGCTGGCCAGGCACTGGTAAGCACTCCCCAACCCTAATCCGACCCTCATCTCCACCCGTCTCCTAGGGAATCTTACCATATCCAATTCCCACCCCAGGCAGCCTCTCCCCCTCCTGAGGTCAGTGCTGCAGCTACGCCTTGGGAGTCTGGCCTGCCAGATGGCTCTGCTTTTCTACCTCAGTACCCCAGGGGCCAGTCTGGACCCTGGCACAATCACGAGAGGTGAGAGGTTAGCCTCGAGGAAGGAGGGAGGGGCCAAGAGCCTGGGGCCCCACTGACCTTTGCTCCCCCAGGGACAGCTTTCCTGAGCCTGTGTCTACAGCAGTTTCTGGGCGGTGTGGTCACCACCGCCACCTTCACCGTGATGATGCACTGCAGCCAGCTGGCACCCAGAGCCCTGCAGGTAAGAAGGCGGGGCAGGGATGCCCGGGGGCCACAGGGCGAGGGAGCCACTTAGGCCCTGATCTGTATTACCACCCCCAGGCCACGCATTACAGCCTCCTGGCCACTCTGGAACTGCTGGGCAAGCTGCTACCAGGCACCCTGGCTGGCGTGCTGGCTGATGGCCTGGGCCCGCACCTCTGCTTTGCTGCCTTCCTTGTCCTCTCAGGGTTGCCCATTCTGGATCTCAGCCTGGCACCCAGCAACCTGACCTGAGCTGTCCGTAAAGCCAATAAAGCTATGGACGGCCGGGCTGTCTGAAACATAGAGATGTAGCTATCCTCAAACTGAGGACCGTGTTCCCAGAAAGGACAGAAAATTCCTGAATGCTTTTTATTTGGCACTTTGGATCTTCTTGTTCCCTGCCTGTAGCTGGGAGGTTTTTGCCTACTGGTCAGTCATGGCTACATCATCGCCTTGATGAGCAGGTGAACCCGACACCCTCTCTGTAGTGGCCACAGTCTGGCTTGCCTCATGTCTCCATCATGGAGCCCTCTCCCATGGAGGGTGGTTATCGGCCTATCAGCAGGAGCTCCTCTGTAGCCAGGCGCATCAGGGTGTGGAAGTTCAGATGTAGATACTTTCTCCAGAAGCGCCGGTCCTGCCCATATACCTGGGCTGGGTAGCACGGACTCGCTATGATGGAGAAGAAACAGAGGCTTGAGGAGTCAGCTCGACTCTACTGCCCAGCTCCTGCCCACATCAGGCAGCCCCCTGGCCCTCACCAATGCCATGGAAGATGCGGGCCACAGCCCGTCCTGAAAACCTTTCCTCTGGCCTCACGGACAGGAGCTGACGGACATCACGACGAATATGGTCCTCCCAGTCCTGAAGCTGTGGGAGGATGGCATGTGACCTCCCCTCAGCCCTCATGGCATCTGTCACATAAAACCACACCCCAAGCAGCCCAAGAAACCTTGGGCCAGGCAGGGGTTGGAGCGTGGGATTGGGTTGTGTGCTGGTATGTCATTCTTCTTGGCTTTGGGAATCGTCCTCAGGGGGGTGGCACTTACCTCATTCTGCCCGGGCTCTGGACCCTGCTCATCCGCCACCGATTCCTCTTCCTCAAAGTAGTGGCTGAGCAAGGTCTTCAACCGGTTGCTGCGCTCCTCATCGGACTGCTCGAGACAGGGTCCACAGCTGGGGAAGGCCACACTGGGGAGGGGCAGATCTGTCAAGAGCGCCCATGGGGTCGGAGTGGGCGGCCTAGGCCCTGCCTCCCTCCTTCCCACCTGCGAAAGGCCTTGGATATGTGGCGCAGGTGGGCCAGGGCCTTGCGTTCACGAGCCTGCACGCGGCTGTACAGAAAGTCACAGATCTGGTCCTTCTCCTCATCTGTCAGGTCTCCAGGACTGAGCAGGGAGAAGGCCAACTCGCTGAACTCCACATGCACCCCTGTGCCGCGCGGTGCACCTGTGAGCGAGTGTGCCGGTCGGAGGCGGCCAGGCGGCTCGCACCAGCCCGGCTGGGGAGGGACGGGCATACCTCTCTTTGGCTGTTGGTCCGATTGCAGCTGGTGCAGAGCCCGCCGTACGGAGGCCAGCTCCCAGCCCATCGAGTCGGCCAGCTCCACCATGTCAAACTCCAGGGAGCTGCTGCCCTGACGGGTCTCTTTGGGTGGCCACTTGGCCCAGCCTGCGGCCAGAGGGGGACACCTGTGCCCGAGGGGACAAAGGAGTATGTGGCCGGCAGCCCGGGTTCTCGGCTTTAGCCTTGGCCCGAGGGGAGGTATGCTCACCTGTGGGCCAGAGCTTGCAGCTGGGCACAGCCCCCGGGGCAGCGCAGATGGCAATGGGCATAGGTGCATGGCAGCAGCTGCAGCCAGCGGCGAGGGTGGAGTTCCAGGTAGCACAGCAGAGTCTCGATAGCTAGAGACAGAGGGAGGCTCAGGCGCTGGGGGGGGGGGTAGCCTCTAGCCCTCCCACCCCCGCATCTTCGCGGCTCCTTACCCTCCTCTGTCATGTCCAGAGCCTGTACTGTGGACTGCACTGGGAGCACCCGCTTGTGGCCCGGGCAGGCCGGTCCCACTCCAGGGGTTGCTGGCTGGCCATTGTGCTCTCTGGCCTCCCCCAGCAGGGAGTTGGTCACGGGCCTCGAGGCGCACATGCAGGGCGGGAACACACGCTGCACCAGTCTCTTCACAGCCCAGAAGTCGGTGCCATCAGCATGGGCATGTCTGCGCAGTTCCCAGAGGTCTTCACCCTGCACCGAGACAGTCACAGGCACACGGCTGTAGCCCTCGGGGCTGGAGTGGCGGCTGCCGGTAACACAGGACGGCAGCTGCGACTGAAGCGGCAGGGCGCAGGAGCGGCGGAACCCCTGGGTCTAGCCTCGCCTGGGGGAGATGCGGGTGCCGACCTGGGGCTGCAGGAACAGGTGGCAGTGGGCAGGCTTCCCATCACGTCCCGCGCGGCCGATCGCTTGCACGTAGCTCTCGAAGCTTGGGGGCAGCCCCAGGTGTAGCACAGCCCGAACATCTGGCCGGTCCAGCCCCATCCCGAAGGCTACGGTGGCCACCACCACCCGCAGGTGGCCCTGCATGAAGGCCTGCTGCACTCGTCGCCGTTCCTGGCCGCACATGCCAGCATGGTATGCTTCGGCCACAGCCTCAGGGCCACAACCTTTAGAGGAAGGTGTACAAGCGGTTGAGGGGACCACAGCAGGCATGCAGAGGAAAGGGCCTCTGGGGGCCAGACCCCACACACGCCTACCTTTAGGCCTTGGATGCGTCACCACAGACAGGCAGGTCCGGAGGAGGGCAGCCACCCGTTCTGTGTCCTTCCGCCGAGTGCAGTAAACGATGATAGAATCCAGGGCGCAAAAACGGTCACCCCGCAGCAAGGTCACCAGAGCCTGGCAGGAAGGAGTGATTGACGTGGCGGGGGTGGGGTGGGGTGGGGTGGCTCCTGACGGGGTCCCTGGTATGTACACACCTACCTGGTCTGAGTCTCTGTCCATGGACACGGAGAGGTGCAGATTGGCAGGGATGGTGGCCAGCCCACTGAGCTCAAGCTCTTCGGTTATGCCCAGGTGCTGGGCCACATCGCGCGCAGTGCTTCGCGTGGCTGTGGCTGTGAGACCCAAAAAGCAGCGCACGCCCATGTGCTCCCGGAGTACCTGAAGCAGGGACAGGATCGAGTCACGTAGCCCACCCGGGTCCCGGTCCACCTCCATCTCGACCCCGACGAAGGCTCACTTTGCAGACTCGCAGGTAGCAGGGCCGGAAGTTGTGGGACCACTGAGAGAGGCAGTGGACCTCATCAATGCAGGCGAAGGCAACTGGAGGCAGCTGAGTGGCCTGGGGGAAGTTGGCCCCACACCCGACCAAGGCCTCGGGGGACACAATCAGCACATGCACCTGGGCTGCCTTCACCTGAAGGGAAGAGGGTTGTGGACACTGCCCGGGTGGATGCCCGCTACCACCCGTCCACGAGGGCCCTCCTGACCTTTTTCAAGACAGATTCTCGTTGTTTCTTGGTCATACCTGAGTGGAGGCAAGCTGCCTTCAGACACAAAGGCAGGTCAGACACCTGGAAATGCAATGTTGTCATAGCCTAGCACAGCTCAAGCTGCTACTACCTTCTCTCAGAGCTACTCGACCCACAGGAAGGAAAAGCATCAGACGCCGGGTCTTAGGGGGAAAAATTCAGTGCCAGACAGCCACCTATGGGCCTGGGTACCCCAGAGATAAGGAACTAGATGGTAAACACTGGGCACTCGGCTGTGCTAGCCTTAGGAAGGTCAGCTGGCCACTGGTGTGTTCAAAGAACGAGAAGCCCCGAAGGGTACCAGAAGTGTCAGTTTTCAAACTTTTCAGGTACCTGGTCATCCATGAGTGACAGGAGAGGAGAGACCACCAGGGTGAGGCAGGGGCTTCGCCGGGCATAGAGCAGCGCAGGAAGTTGGTAACAGAGAGACTTGCCAGCACCCGTGGGCAACACTAACAGAGTGGAGATGCCTGGACAGGACAAAAGGCAGCTATGAGGCCCGATGGACCAGACACAGCCTGGTGCGGTTCCTAGGCAGCCACACCTACCAGAAAGAATCCGCATGACTGCACGTTCTTGGCCGGGGCGGAAGGCTTGGTGCCCCAGCTGCTGTAGGGCCTGGAACACCTCAGCAGGGCTTTCTGTGGACACAGTTGTGGTGGTTTGGTGAGAATGGGCCCTATAGGTGCATCTATTTGCAGGCTTAGTCCCCATGTGGTGAACTGTTTGGGAAGGATCAGGAGGTGTGGCTTTGTTAGAAGTGTGTCACTAGGGGTGGGCTGTGAGGGTTTCAAAGGTCCAGGCCAGGTCCAGTGTGTCTCTCTGCCTGTCGATCAGGATGTAAAGCTCTCAGCTACTTCTCTGGCACCATGCCTGCCTTTCTGCTTCCCACCATGATCATGGACTAAGTTGCTGAAACGGTATGCAAGCCCCAATTAAATGTTTTATAAGCGCTGTCGTGGTCATGGTGTCTTTACAGCAATAGAACACTAAGACATGTATTGGTAAAGACTCTGGACCAGCCGGGCGGTGGTGGCGCACGCCTTTAATCCCAGCACTCGGGAGGCAGAGCCAGGTGGCTCTCTTGTGAGTTCCAGGCCAGCCTGGGCTACAGAGTGAGTTCCAGGAAAGGCTCCAAAGCTAAACAGAGAAACCCTGTCTCAAAAAAACCAAAAACAAACAAAAGACTCTGGACCATTAAGTTTCACTCACCTGCTACCTGCCCCAAGGGCCCTGGTGGGTAGAGGGGCAACATTGGGCGGGGCGGACAGGGTACTTGTAGCTTTGGCCCATCAGGTTCTGTGTCCTCACCTGCTTAGATAGGCAAGAGAGGGTGATGTGGGAGCACCAGAATAGACAGAGCCATCCGGGCATGATGGCCTCCCCTTCACCCATTCCCCCCTCACTCACCAGAGAGGTGACAGGAAGTAGCGCCTGTCATCTGTGCCACTTCTTCCAAAGCGGAAACGGGCTGTTTGTCATCCCTGCCGCCTTCCTCCTGGAAGGTCTGGGTGGAGCCTGGACCAGGGTTAAGAGCTGGTAGAACCTTTTCGTAAGTAGTTCCCCCCATCCCCACCCCAAGTGGTTAAATGATCCAATACTCATGGCAGAGGCTCACCTGGCTGGGAGCACTGGGATGCCCAGTGACCAGACTGTCCACACCGGAAACAAGTGTCCTTGACTGTGGCTCTGGGTCCACTTCCCCCAAACTGCTCTCTTTTCTTCTTCCACTTTTGCTTCCATACCTGGGGGAGGTCCCCAGGGAGTCTTTAAGAGGGAGATGGGGGGAGAGGAAAGGTTGGCTTGTTCCACTCAACCCTGTCTCACCTGCTTTCGGAGAAGCCTGCCTCGATTGGCCCCAACTCGTACATAACACTTCTGTTTCATGTTGAGCCGAACGTAGTTCCCTCTGTCCAGGAGAGCTGGTCGCGGGGAGCTGTGGAGCTGGGCTGTGCCCTTGGCCTTCTCTGTCCTGGCCTGATTTGAGGACTCTCGGGGCTGAGATGCATTCCCTTGTGCATGCTCTCCCGGAGGGTCTTTCTCATGGGCTGCAGCCCTGGCTCCCTCAGATAGCAGTTCTGCTTGGCTGCTGTCCTGGGCTTGTGCAAAGTCCTCGGAATTCTCACTCCATTTCCGTTTCCTGTCTTTATTGTTGCTGGATTTGGGGCTCTGTGGCTGCAGGGCTAGGGCCTCTGAGCTCTGTGAAGATCCTTCTGAATGGATCCCAGGATCAGGGACATTCACCTTGCCTGGTATCTGCGGTTGTGACTCCTTTGCATCCAGGTCAAGCCCACAGGCACTGGGAGCCTCTGAAAACCCGTCCTGACACCGCTCCAACCAGCCAGGGTCTAGGGAACTCAGCCTCAGGCTCAGGGAGGCCTGAAGCTGTTGGAGCTGGCCTAGCCTTGGCTGGGGCTCAGGAAGCCGAGGAAGTTCATCATTAGTTTCATCTGGACAGGTCCCTGGGTCTGGCGGCCTTAGGGTGGGCACCGTGGACAAGGATCTCTTCTGAGGCTGGAGTTTGGGGCTCAGGGTTGGCCTAGTCTAGGTTGGGAAAGACAGAACAGCAAGTAGGGTCTCAGGACCCCGGGGCTACTGCAGAAGTTTGGGACAGACAAGAAGCGGAGAGTGAGGTACCTGTGAGCACCTTAGGAGCCTAGCCCCACTTAATACAGGAGTCTCTCTCTCTCTCTGTGTCTCCCTCTCTCTCTCTCTCTCTCTGTGTGTGTGTGTGTGTGTGTGTGTGTGTGTGTAAGGAAGGGTGGACACAGAGGGGCCCTGGCAAACCACCCCAGAGCCAAAGGCAGTTCTGGGTTCCCCTCCACTTCTTACCTGCAGCTTTGTTTTTTTCAGATTGGCTTTGAGCCTCTTCCCATAGTCTTGTACTGAACTCAGTGGTCTCTGCCTGGGCATAGGCTGTGTATTCTGGGTTGCAGCTCGATTCAGGTGGGGACCCCAGCAGCTTGGCTCCCGCGCCTGCAAGTGGACAGTAGCGGCCTAGACCAGGTTAAAAGATGGAATGGGCACAGACGTGCCTCCAGAGCTTTCCTTTAACCCCCCATGGGAGGGCCTGGCCACCCAACTTTTGTGCCCCGTGGAGGCGTGGCCGCAACAGCCCTTGGCTCCTGCCATTTGACCATACCGAACGCTGACAGGGATCAAGGGCCAGTATACCTCCTCAGCTGCCTCGGCGGCAAGAGACTGCTCTGGGATGCGGCGGCGTCCGTCCTGAGCCTGGCGCACTGCCTGTTTTAGGTTCCGGTACTCACGGTAGAGCGCTGAGAAGGCAGGGGTCGGGGGTCAGGGCACACCTACCACCATCAGCCCTGTCCCAGGCCCGCCAGCCCAGCGCTCACCGCGGGTCTCCTCGGGTGCCGCCTCCACATCCTCCTGGGAGAGAAGAAGCTGGTCAGCCACAGGCTGCACTTGGGTCCCCACGCCCAGCCCTGTCCGGCCCCCAACCCCCACCTCACCTGCGCTGGCCGTCTCCCGTGCAGCCGTGCGAAAGCGCGTTCCCACTGCTGCAGCCGGGCGCGGACGCTCGCCAGCCGGTCCATGGCAGCCGGAGCCTGAGTCTCGGGAAATCTCCCGCCGTCGTGGGAAGAGTCTCGTTCTTAGCCAATGGGAGCTGGCGCCGGGCGGCGCCGGGCAGCCAATTCGCTGGGCCCTCGAGGGGCGGGCCATGCGGGGTGCTGCGTCATCGCGGCGCGCCACGCTGCTGCGCGGCGCTGGGCGAGGCTTAGCGGTGGGGCTGGAGGGTTTGGTGCTGTCGGGGCGGTGCGGATGAGTTGGGGCTGCCCGGCAGGGATCCGAGCGGGGCGAAGAGTCGGCAGCCGTAAGGGGCACGGCGCTTGGACGGCCGCATCGACGGGGGCTGGCGCTTGAAGGCCGGGGCTGCCGCGGATTTTCGGGAGGTGCCGCTGCGCGGGGATGGGCCCGGGTGAGCCCCGCAAGAGCTGGGCGACCTAGGGGCGGGTGAGGATGTTCTCCACCTGCAAGGAACATGCTCACCTGGGTTAGTTGAGGTTCCGGGCTTGATTCTTGAAGGATCTGGGCGTGCGGCATTACCCCCAGAAGCAATCCTTGCTTGGAGGCCAGGCCGGCTGCTTTCTTCTTTTGACAGCGAGGCAGTCCTGGCGAGATTACAGTAAGGTAGAGGCCAGATCGAGGATAGTCATGCGGGGTTTCCCAGGGACCTGTCCCTGAAGGACTTTTTCAAGATGTGAGAAGCAAGCAGACCCCGGAGTTCTACAGCCTTTCTGCACCCCACCCCTTGTCCGGTGCGCTAACTTTGGACAAGGTGTAGTAGGTCTTAGTTTTCCAATCCGTTACAGGGTGAGGGGCTGTAATGTGGTTCTGATGGTAAGGTGTTTGGCCCACAGGAAGTATAATGACCCTGTGTATCAGGAATCCTTCGGCCTTAGGGGTGTTTTGCATGTGGCTTCTCATCTGGAATGCTTCGACAGTCTCCGGCATGAATCTTTCTGAATTCCATGCATTTAAGACTTGGTGGTCTCTCTGTACAATGGTTTCTCAGTGAAGAGAGGATTCCCAAATAGGAGGCAAAGACCATAGAGGGTGAGAGTTACTTTTCCTCGGGGATTTCTGGGCCTACTTATCCTGGAAAACTTGTTATCTCTGGAGTTCACACTTAATGGCCTAATCTCATAGGCTGCACGGCATCTGTGCTGGGGATCTTTTTAGAAAATCTAATCCCAGCACTTGTAAGCTGTGCTTTGATTTCCTTAAATCCCAGGGCACATCTATATGGAGGGTTAGGCTGTGGCCACTGGCTCTGTGGAAATCCTCCATCCGTTCTTGTGCTGATGGGAAGAGAGGCCTGGGCTCTATTTTACTTTAAAAGTATTTACTTCCCTTTAGTTGTGTATGTATGTCCATGTCGGAGTGTATGTGCACACGCCATGTGCATACAGGAGCCCTCTGAGGTCAGGCAAGGGCACCTGCATCGGACCCTTGGAACTGGAGCTTCAGGAGGCTGTGACACACTATGTGTGTCCTGGAAACCAAACCTGGGCCTTTTGGAAGATCAGTAAATGCTCTTAACCACTGAGCCGTTTCTCAACCCCTTGTCTAACAAACAAACAAACAAACAAACAAACACCCAAAGCTGTTAGAACTCAAGTACAAGATCTTCCTGTTTTATGCTGACTCCAATGCTGGATTTCCAGAGGTGTGTTACCCAAACCCTGATTTTACATAGGCTCTAGGATCTGAAGTCAGGTCCTCACTTTTGTTTGGTAAGCACTATACTGAAAGGAATCCCCAGTCCCTTATTTTCCTTTTTTTTTTTTTTTTTTTTTTGATAGGATGCTACTATGTATGGATAAATAGATTAGGCGGGCCTTGAACTCACCAAGATCCACCTGCCTCTTGCCTCCCCTGGTGCTGAAATTGAAGGTGTACAACTTCATGCCTAGCCCTTCTTTTTTTTTTTTTTTTTTTTTCCCTTTTCTGTCTAATCAAAAAGAAGGTTTTTATTTTAACATAGTAAAATTACATATAACAAAATAGTTATCAAGCAAGAATTACAGTTATAATACCTAATCTATTTGTATTTGGCACAATTAAAGAAAATATTCTATCACCTATCCTATTTTTATGAGTTTAAAGTTTTATATCTAATTTATCTTTTTTTTTTGTGATATATATTTTTTATTTTACAATACCATTCAGTTCTACATATCAGCCATGGGTTCCCCTATTCTCCCCCCTCCCACGCCCTCCCCTT